TCTCCCTGACATGGCTGCTTCAACACTAACTGCGGTTACTGAAACCACGCCTTCTTTCTTTGCGTGCACATTTGGGCGCATTATGCTAATATTTCCACATAGTGAGGTAGATATGTGGGGCGTGTTTAAACGAGGCGTTTTAGGAGGGCGTGGACCAGTCTTAACTTTTATAAAGAATATCTTTTTGGGTTTGAGACTTTAGTCTTTGCAACTTTAGGGATCTTATCTATTCACGAACAGCTTGTAACACTCCAAAGAGAAAGGAAAACTTGAAATCGCATCATATGACCCCTTTAACTACTAATTAGCCATTTAGCTGCCACTTTTACCAAGAGTGATTTAGAGTGTACTAGTTACAGGAACAGTCCCCCTCGAGTAACCTCTGGGTATTGGTCTTGTTGAAGGGTACAACAGTGGTAGTTTTTAAATCTACCTTTGCTGGTTTGCTTTCGTTCAGACACTTTTCTGACATGGCTACACCACTGCATGGTTTAAGTGCAAGGTTGTGGAATTCATCTTTATCATTTGATAAATTTATCATTTGATAAATTACTCCTGCCTTGATTAGAAAATCTAAACAAACATCTCTCCTGAAATGTATCACTGTACCTTGACTCTATGCCGTATGCTGTCATTGCGATGATGGTCATCGTCAATTTCAGCAGTCTCCTCTTCGTCGCTCACTACTCCCATCAAAGCGTCATCCACCACCCCATTCATGCCATCCTCTAATCCACCTATCTTCTTTCCTTTCAACAGAATCTTCCCTTTCAGATCCTACACACAAATATGGAGAAGATATAATTTCATCAGGAAGCATCTAGTGTTGTCAAAAGTACCAACCGCGATACCATTCGGTACTAAAATTTTAAAAACGTCCATTCCCCCCTAACATCTGAGCGCTGTTGAGCAGATTCTTAAACACGGCTGATTGGCCATTGTGTTTACGCGCTCAACAGATATGACTGTGATTGGCTATAATGATCATCTCTTCACCAAACTCTTACACAGTGTCCTAACTACATGCGCCGCGACAGGTGATAAAAGGTATCTTTTCCATGTTAATCTGAGTTTTTGCCCTAACTAGCTACGACGGCGACATGCGAAATTTCTATTTTAGAATTGATTTCTATTTCTGGCTGGAACAACAACATACAAACTATATGACAGTGATAATCTCAGGTACTGATTATGTGCTATGTAATGTTATATTGCGTGGCATTTATAGCCATACTGAAAACAACAACAGATTTACCTCAGATCTTGAAAATAAATAAAAGCAAAGATGTATGATAAAACTGTGAACTCACTGCAAACCAACAAGCGTATTCCATAAAGATAGTATCAGTCACAAAGTATGTACATTCACCAAACTCACAGTGTCCTAACTACATGCGCCGCGACAGGCGATAAAAGGTATCTTTTCCATGTTAATCTGAGTTTTTGCCCTAACTAGCTACGACGGCGACATGCAAAATTTCTATTTTAGAATTGAGAATTCTATTTCTGGCTGGAACAACAACATACAAACTATATGACAGTGATAATCTCAGGTACTGATTATGTGCTATGTAATGTTATATTGCGTGGCATTTATAGCCATACTGAAAACAACAACAGATTTACCTCAGATCTTGAAAATAAATAAAAGCAAAGATGTATGATAAAACTGTGAACTCACTGCAAACCAACAAGCGTATTCCATAAAGATAGTATCAGTCACAAAGTATGTACATTTAATAATGTTAAAAAGGTTTAATATTTATGAATTGGATTATAAACTTATCCATTTAGTTGTGAGTGCAGAGCGCTTCCAGAGAGAGCCCACCCGCGCTCGCTTCTGATTGGCTGTGATATTTGATTGATTCTGTTGCGTCATGTCGCGTCTAGTGTGGACACCCAAATTGCTTGTCACTGAAATCTTGTCACGTCACATGTAGTTAGGACACGGTGTTACACAGAAGCACACGGGAGAGCGTTTGATAGTCGCGTCTATCAGCGGATCCGTCACCGTCAGTGGATCCCTTAAAATATCTGCACATAGATGGATCCGCTGATAGATGCGATTTTCAAATGCTCCCTTGTGCTTCTGTGTGAGTGCTCGGTGAAGAGTGTGCGTGAAGAGTGAAGCGATGGTCATTGTAGCCAATCACAGTCATATCTGTTGAGCGTGTGAACACATTGACCAATCAGCGCTGTTTAAGGATCTGCTCAATAGTGCTGAAATGTTAGCAGGAAATGGACGTTTTTAAAATTTCAGTAACGAATGGTCTTGCGGTCGGTACTTTTGACAACACTACAAGCATCAGAAATCTCATACAGTAACAGACTTTAACAGTGGACACATGGACACACAAATTAGGTGTGCCTTTAATAGTGGTTGGTCAAATAGGAATGCAAAAAATTTGCACCTAAACCAGTAGGATTTCCTTAGTCAGCTTCACTAGGAAGACCATGGTGTTCAGTTAAGTTTTGCTAGTGACTAACAGCTATGATGGTCTTGTCAGTAATATAGCACTTCTGCTTAGACCCTACTGAAATGATGATGGTGGTGTGCAGGCCTCTTAACTAGCAAGAATTCACCGGTTAGCAACTTTTACCAGAAACACCTAGCCTAAGCTAACCTTGACAATGACAAGCAAGGTAATGCATGCTAGTCTGAGCTGGTCTTTCTTAGCAGGGTCGTTTGCTTTAATAATTCAGCGTGGCTATGTCGCATGGACATAGATCATATGGCTGCTGCCCCAGGTGAATGGCCGGAGAAAGTGAATGTATCCTGGAGAGGTCACCACACTCTGAACTCTGATACAAACGTCTGCTTGTGGGTGGAAACTTCGAGATCTTTGACTCTTCAAGATGAATGACCAGTGCTAGACATTTACTGCTCATTAAGCAGCAATTAAGTGGACTTGTTAAGTGGAAGTACTTGTTTAAGTGACTGCATGCATCCGTGCTCTCCGGCTCACCTCAGGAGATGGGAGGCCGATGAGAATCTTTCCATCTAAAGGGCTTTTCAGCAGCTTGTCTCCCAGGATCTGGGTGAGGTGTTGGGCCATGACTTTCTGCTGCTCTACACTGCAGTGGTTCTCAATGGACAGGATGACAGGGTACTGCGATGCCTGTGGAGGGGAGAGTGTGTGTGAGTGTGTGTGAGTGAGTGAGTGAGTGAGTGAGTGAATAAGTGATGGAGTGAAATGGAACACTCAACACAGAACTGCGGCTAACACACTGCCAAGCAGGGGTCGACTGCCCTAGATCCCATTACACAGAAACAAAAGGGCATGGTGCCCTGGCTCAGAGTGAACCTGGCCCCAGTCTGTCACACACACACAAATGCAAGCTAGTAAATTTACTCTAAAAATGTACTCTTTTTCCAAGTATCATTGTTTATTTTTTTTACATTTACCAAGGTAATACTATGGTTTTTTGTTTGCAATGTTAATACCTTGGTATTCTTTGACGTACCTATGGTATTGTCATCTGTTGCCATCACCATATCGTGGTACAGTATTGATTAAAAGAAAGTTATCATGGTAATAACATGTTTAAAAATGGTACCATGCTAATAAATTATGTTGAACACTATCATAATGCTAATACCATGGTATTCCTTGACTTACCATAGTATTTGAATATGGTAATCAATCATTACAATGACATATCTAGTACTGTAGAATTACCATCTGATAACACCACTATGCCATGGCACAATTACAGAACATTTTTGTTATGAATGTGCAGATGTAAAAGTGTGGATGAAAACAAAGCCATAGTTTGAGACATACTTTAAATGCATAGTTGCCCAGCACAGTGACAACATCCTTGAAGAATATCTTGGAGGTGAACGTGTGTCCATGGTAGACAATTGGATCTCCATTTGGTCCATCCCAGCAGTCCACTTCTACACATCGACAGCCACGTTTCAGTGCTCTAAAACACACACATACAAGTACATATTTATGAATATAAAGAAGAACTGACGTTAGGAATTAAAGGCAATGCCTACTTAAAATAAGTTTTTGAAAACATGTGTACCGTATATAGCCTTCCACACTGCTGTGTCCTCTGATTTGGTCTTCCAAAAGGTATGTGTTATGAGAAGACGATATGAAGTAATGACAAAGAGGCTGAGTCATGTCCTGGTAGAGTTCCACCATAGAAGGGTTGAAGATAGAGCCTTCTGGTGAGGTCAGGTACATCAGAAAACCATCAAACGTCATCGCTTGTAGCATTCTTGCTATGGGAACATAGGGTAAACAAATGAATAGGCCTACATTTAAAGGTAAGCCAAGATGTCAAGAACACAAAATGCAGCATTAGGATACCTGGAACTAGAAGTTGAGTTTGAAAGTTAAAAATTTGTTTGGGACAAGAACCCAAACCACCAAGGATGATCTAAACAAATCAATGGCAAGTGGAAAGTAAAATACAAATAACCTAAGCTTTGAAGAAGCTTGAGTAAGAAAAGTACAACCCTGTTAGTTACCCGTGTCTGAAGGTTCATAGCGTTCAATGAGTTTTAGTGCATACTGCTGAACTCCGTCCTCGTGTAGCTGCTCCTCCCGTAAGAAATCTTTCAGATCTTGGAGTGTTAACTTCTGCCCATCGCCCGAATATTCCTGAAACACTCGCAGGACGTCCTCACGCTGAGTCAACATCTTATAGAACAGCACGAACTCATCATCTTCAAGAGTTCCTGATTGAGACTTGTCTGCCATCTGCAGAACAATAGAAGTTCCAAAATGTAAAAATACAAACAACTACCTGGAAATGGATCACCAAATAATAACCTAAGTGTCTAGTGTCAAAACTGTCATTAAACTGAAGCTACATCAAGTGGTATAACAATAGAAAAACTGATGATTGGCCATAAATGTGCAGTTACCGTGAAGAGACGAAGAGCGTGATGCTCGTTCATGTCCACATTCATCATCTTCAACAGATCTCGGACCTCCTTAAAGTTCATCCGTCCATCTCTGTTTTTGTCTGCCTTTTTAAACCAATCACAGATCCATCTGGAAACAGCATTTAAGGGAAAACTAAAGTGCTTGGTATGATTTACCGAAGTAAAGTTCCTTTCAACTGATTTTAGGGTTATGTTTAAGAGCTGGAAGTTAAGGGCTCAAACTAGGGGCTTGGACTTCAATCCAAGCATAGATAGTGATCGGGTTAAAACTTTGAGAAACAAGAATGTTGTCCCAGGAACGTGTCCAACTTGCATAAATCATGTTGCACAACATGGAGTGAAAGCAGGTAAATGGATCATCCCAGTGTATTTAAGTGTCCTTTAATGCCTTTTAGCCTGCCTGAAACCTTGTGTGTGTAAGATGGACAGAGAGTGGAATGATAGAAAGGCAGATAAAGAGTGACAGTAAAGGATACTGGTCTAGTTTCTCTCTCTGCCCCATGTTCTCCAGGTTATCGATGAGTTGCCAAACATTTACCTATCCATCCCCTGAACCCCAAAACAAGGGGTTCTCAACTCTAGCCCTCAAGGTCCACGTTCCTGCAGAGTTTAGCTCCAACCTTGATAAAACTCACCTGCCTATAACTTTCTAGTGATCCTGAAGACCTTGATTAGCATGTTCTGGTGTGTTTGATTAGGGTTGAAGCAAAACTCTGCAGGAAAGTGGACCTCAAGGGTAATAGTTGAGAACCCCTGCCCTAAGAGTTGGAGACAAGACCAGACCAATATTTGGCCTATCAAGACCCAGAACCCATACAAATGCAACATTTATGTGGTCTCGAGAGATCTCAACACCAAAATAAAACAAGATTACGACTCAAATTTTGACCCTCACGCAAACTCTACATCCAGTCTAGAGCAAGGGCGTACAATTCTGCTTCTGATGGGCCAATTGTCTGCAGAGTCCAACCATAATTAAGCACACCTAAAATAGCTAATCAAGGTCTTTGCAATTACTTTTGCAAAGGCCCCCCAGGAACAGAACCTGGTCTAGAGCAGGGTTGGGCATCTTTATTCCTGGAGGGCCACTGTCCTGCAGAGTTTAACTCCAACCCTAAACAAACACACCTGAACAAGCTAATAAATGCCTTCAAGATTACTAGAAAACTACAGGCAGGTGTGTTTGATAAGGGTTGGAACTAAACTCTGCAGGACACCGGCCCTCCAAGACCAAAGTTGTCCAGCCCTGATCTAGAGGTTCTGAAAATACTTTATATGAAGATGGCTGCTATATTTATGCCTAGGGTAATAGTGCAGTTGTTCTAGGCTGGTTATAGGTTCAGTCACAGGAAGAGTTGATCCATGGACTATCACTAATGTGATCTTAAGTAAGATACTTAAACTCAGGTATCTCTTATAACAGCAGAGTCTAATCTTGCTCCTGGAGGGCCACCTTCCAGCAGAGCTTTGCTCCAGCCCCAATTAAACACACCTGAACCAGCTAATGAAGGTCTTCAGGATCACTACAAACTTTAGGAGGGTGTGTTGCAATTCTCCTCTCCAAGCACTCCAGGAGAAGGACTGGACACCCCTAGCATATGGGATTGTTCTTGTAAAACAGCATGTTGCTTTGGATAAATGACTAATAATTACAGATTGTGGATCTTGTCAGCGCTACTTACAGGTGGAGTGTGCATTTGCTGCTTTCTTGCTCTTGTACCAGATAGTCATGCAGTCTTCTTGTAGACGAAAATAACGATGCTTTTTCCATGTGCGAGACTTGATTTTTCTCATCACTGTGCCAACAAACATAGACTTCAGGTCATCATCAGCCTGGATACCTGAGAAGCAAGACAGTACAGGAGACGAAGAGGGCGAGGAGGGGTCAGACAACAGGTAATGCACCTGACCCAGATTCCTAGCACATCATTGTAAACACAACAAGCTAGAAACACCCCCTGCCTCTCATGATCAGATAATGAATGCTCCTTTTGTATAGATATGAGGTTTTGGCATACATTTTATGAATCCTTGTAAGCTTGTGTTGCTAGCACTCTAACACTACCAGATAAGGTAATGGAATTATGATTTAATATTTAGCATTTTAAATGCAAAATTAGATATAATTTAGCCCTTTTATCATGCTTTCCCAGTAAGAACCTCCCAACAGTTCTAACAATGAATGGTTTTACCATGTTTGTGGAGACATTTTAAGGCAAAATCTACCAGAACTAATGGAATAACCTTCGTATCACCTTAAAAGTGTTTATATCGACAGTCTACAATGGTCTATCTAAGCCACCTGCTTACTTGCAGTGTACAACACTGAGTCAGTTACTACGGAACAAATAAATACATTGAAAACAGTCAGGGATTTTTTCCCCCATAGTTTAAACTTACATAGGCTCCTTTCAGAAGAAGCCATTTGTTGTTCTGTCATTTTTTAGCCGTCTCCTGTTTTAGAATAAAGAGAGAGAATAAATTAATGAGTCACACTGAATGAAGTGGAGTAAAGAATATTAAGACATCATACATTTCACAGCAAATGGTTATACATTTATACAATAACATTTACGCCTGTAAATGTTAAAAACATGCATTAAAAAGGTATACTTGGGGTATCCCCTAATATAAAAAGCTAGATTTTATATGTAACAGCATAATTTTCATTAATAAAAGTAACAAGCCATCAGCAATAATTTCAAAAGAAAAACCACACAAACATTGGAAAAAAATTTAAATATTCAGATACTTGTGTATATTTTTAAGAAACTGAACTGCATTAGTAATAATATTACAAACAATTTTTAAGTCTGATATGTTCCTCCATTCATGCAAAACCTTTTCACTGCTTTTAAACAAATACATATGCACACCCTCAAACAAAACCTTTCCCTCGGTATAAATGGCTGTTGTTTGTGAAAAGCCCCTGGACGTCTGGCTTTAATACAGGGATCAGCACTAGAGCTGTTGCCTCAGACTCTCTAATGTTTGTATGGATCTGTTCAGTGCAAAAGCATCTCACACTTGCCCTCAAATACTGCACAGCCATGCAAAATCAGAAAAAAAAGTCACACATTATGAACTAGGAAAACTCATCTAAAAACAAAACAAAATGACCTCAAGCTTGCCATGTGAGCAGAGATGTGTTGTAATACTCAGCCAAAGTTGCCATGAAGATTCAGGTTTCACACAAACCAGTCGCCATAAACATGGCGGACTAAATGTCCAACACTGCTAACGAGTTATTAACAAAAACTTGCTGAACTCAAGCATATGTTCCAGATTCTTTCAATTAATTTATTGTTAGTTGCTGTTACAACTAATGACTAAAACTCTTGTAACACTGATATAACATATGAATGAGCTACATCAAGTTACAAATGATAACAACAACAGTGTCAACAATAGCCGTATGCTCACTATATTATATTATAAAGAAATTAAAGATTAGAACTGCAAAATAATTTGTTACTTTTAAATGTATTTTATGTTTTCATTGAAATATTTTCTATTAAAAATACAAATAATAAATAATATAAATAACTACACTATAAAAGTTACATAAATATGTATAACTATTAAAAATAACAATTTAACTATAAGCAGAAAGACAAAACAAGCACCAGTTACAAACAGGTATCCTATATCTGTAGATAAACTTTCACAGCCAGGGACTTAAATACAATAATATTCACTATCTCAGGGTTGAAAGAGGTCTTACCCTCTGTGGGCTCATAGTTGGATCTGTATTTGAGCTTTGAAGAGGAGCATAACTCAGGAGAAGCCGGTGTAATGTGGCCCCCGCTGCAACAGAGCCGGACTGACTGTCCACATCTCGCCACAGCTGATCGTACCACAACACACCTCCCTCTGACGCACAACCACACACCCACAGATCCACAGCAAAACACGCGACTCGATGCCCACAAGGGCCCCTTGTCCTCAAAATACACTTTCTGTCTCTCTGTCTTTGGGAGTCAAAACCTTCCTTCAGACTGCTTTGTCTTGCGTCTCTCTATCCACTGTAAACCTAAAACGAGGGTATGTCAGTTCTGAGGTGGAAACTCAATCTGGCGCATTGCGTAATTGGAGTGTTTGCATTCCTGCGGTGTGACAACTAAAGCTTTAATCGTGACCGAATAAACGTGCAAATGTGAAATGCAACACTTTTCTAAATAATCCTGACCCTGATAGCACACGTACATCAGAGATGTCTATTTGACGTCTGCAAGACATATTTTTTAGTGTTTGCTCATCTGCAATACATCTATTGGACGTTTCCTATCAGATGTCAAATAGACGTTTATTAGATGTCGTTAGGATGTTTATGATTTAAAATGTATGTAAAACTGACATTTTACAGACGTCTGTCAGATGTTTGTACACAGCAGATGCTTTCCAGATAAAGCGATCTTTAACAGACATCTTGCTGACATACGTGTGCTATCTGGGAAATACCATTCCTAGTTACTGATTGGCTGCAATTATCGAAGCTATTTGCATATTACATTATGCCAAACAGAGCGTTTTTGCATTTTTCTAAAGTCGCCTCCCTGATAGCACACATACATCATGGAGACGTCTATTTGACATCTGCAAGACGTACCCAGATAGCACACGTACGTCTGCAAGAGGTCTGTTAAAGATAGTTTCATCTGGGGAGCATCTGCTGTGTACAAACCTCTGATAGACATCTATAAGATGTCAGTTTTACATACATTCTAAATGATAAACATCTTAAAGACATCTTTTAAATGTCTATTTGACATCTGATAGGAAAGGTTCTATAGACGTATTGCAGCGTGAATACTTACCTGCTCAAGTTAAAAGTAAATACTTCTAAGTATGAGGTGTTCTGGGTGGATATGGACCTGAATCAAAACAGCGACAATGCTAGGCTCTTGCTATATGGCTAATAAGGCATTATAAATTGTTTTTAGCATGTTGCTATTTGGTTGCTAAGTGGTCCTGGTTGGATGCTAGTATGTTGCTTACTGGTCCAAGTGCTACAAGGTAAGTACTTGCCTCCTCAATATAAGAGTACAAATCCCTAAGTATGAGCAACAGAAATAGTGTGCTAGCATTAGCTAACACCACCAAAAATGTATTCAAACGAATATTTGGCCATGTCAGTTAACACTATTAGCATATTACATTGCAATCTTAAGGTCCTTGCACAATGAGTACGAAATGTTCGATTGAAATTTTCGCACGTTAAAAACTAAATACATACCTCACGTTGTGTCGATCACGTTTACACACTGCCTCCGAAACATTCGTCCGTCATAAAAAAATTTGGCTAGGGTTCAATTTTCTGAATTATTCGCATCCGTAGCCAGCATTTTGAAAGCTGTTTTGACAATTCAGAGCCACCGAAACATTCTGTGCGTGATGAATTTTGACGAGTACGAAAAACGCATACGAACATTTTTGACTCCGTGTGCAAGGACCTTTACAGTATAAACAGCACTCCCTCTAAAAATGATTAAGGGGCATAACTTCACTACATACATATGATCAAAACGACTGAATGTTCATAAAATATTAAAACGTCTTCATGGCATGTTGACAGCCATATATCGGACACTGCCGCCCGCTTCCAGTCTGCCTCTGAAACACACGTCAGGGAGTTTAATGCATGTTTGTGGAGCACAACTCAAGAGTCTATTGTCTACGCTTGGCCTCCCTCACTGGGGCCCTTTAGTGGAGACCCCAGATGATCGGATCAGGTTACTTAAGCAAGCATTCAACATTTAGCAACCCTGTTAAACTGCGTTCGGGTGGAAACAGGGAATAAGAGGATGTAAACTTTTTTTAGGTTAATTTTGAACATCTTGTATTCGAAAAATCAACCCGTCTGAAGCACATTTGTGTCTATCAAGGGGTCTCGCCGGTCAGTTTCAATTGTACCTGGCTTCATCTCCCATTAGGAATTCTTCTTTTCTGTCCCTTCCTCGTGTTTCTGTTCATGAATAAAACACAGCCGAGCTCGATGTCTGAGCTCAGTTTACACACACAGCGCTGGCGTCTTTAAAAGGGGGTCCCTGCCTACCCGCTATATCATCGAGCCAGCGCCTGGATACGCACACACGCGGACGAACACTTTCCATTGCAGACATCGCCTCAATGAAACTCTCACCTTGTGTTTAACGACGTATCGGATCGTTCATTACACAATAGTGATTACTTAGCAACTAAACTCAGCTGACCATTCGGTTGATATGATGCTTGTAATTGGGACTAGAACAACTATACTGGATCTCCGACTAGATTTCACCATTTAAGGAAAATGGGACATAATCAAGTTGTAGCTATGTATGTAGATATGTATAAAATTGAACAGCTAACAGTACTTTTATTATACAAATTATAAACATACTGTTAGCCACTGATTCACCACAGGTTTCACTGCATTAAAAATAAATTATTGCTGATTTGAAAACGTGGCCATTATATATTTTTTTTATTATTTCCACTGTTCTAGAGCTGTTTTTTGTAGTACTACTAAGGGTCAGCAGGTGGCAGCCAATGAAATTTGAAGCATCAAGATGTAATGCTTACACTTTACTGGATGTAGTTCGTTTACTGAAAACGGAAGAAACAATGTTTTAAAACTAAACTACAGTATGCTTCATTGTTGTCCCATTATGTTTAATTCAGCAACCGCCATATAGCCGTTTCAGAAATAAAAATTAATATTATATAAAAAAATATATTAATACAATATACAATACTTAGAAAAATAATCCAATCAATTTTGTATAAAATATATTTTTTTACACTAAATTGGATTTTTGAGTTATTTACACACAGATACACAAACATGCACCAAAAATCTGTGTGTAATATAATGTTAATTACATATTATATATTAATTAATAGAATTATATTTTTTACTATATATATTGTAATACTTGATTATATATTAATATAATTATACATATTTTAACACTTAATTTAATTTAAAATAAAAATATTTTAAATTTTATATAGTGTAATTAATTATATTATACAATATTATACAATAATTATATAAATAATTATTTAATAAAATTGCATACTTTTTACACTAAATGTTAAGGCCTGTTCACACCAAGCATGATAACTATAAAGATATTGATAAAGATATAGTTCTAAAAATCATTCTCAATGTTAAAGGGGTCATATGACGTTGCTAAAAAAAGAACATTATTTTGTGTAGAAAATCCACACCACAACAATAACGATAAAGGCACAGAGAAACAATATCAATGGAATCACTTTCAGAATGATTTTTTTTCAGCTGATGATTGATAAAAACATTGACACTAGGGCTGCACGATAAATCGCATGCGATATTTAACGCGCATCTTGTCAGA